AAATGGTTTCTTGAACACTACCATTGTGTTTGTATTGGGTTACTACTGCCTTTTTCATTCAATGCCTTGGTTGCTTCCCAAGAGTGCTTTTACTTTCCTGAGTAATATCTATGTCACATCTAAAGATATATCTATTTTTTTAAGCTCTAAGAGCCATTTGTCTCACTGTTTCACTTCAGTATAATTTCCCATCCTAAAGCTTAGTTTCAAGAGTTCCACTTTTTAGTACTCAGGCAAAAAATTTTATTGTGCTGCAGTCAATACAAGTGGCTCAATTATTGCTAGCTTTTGAGTCAGTTCTTGCACATTACTTAACGCTAAGTCAAGAATATCTTTCTGTGTACTCTAGTACTAGCTGTTCCAAGAGGCAGAAATTGCTTCTTTGAACTGACTCTTATTGTGCTATCTGACCAGTTTATTCACAGGTAATTTAAGTCCCCATTATCATTTGGTTAGACTTTCTCACTTCTTTGATCTCTGTCAACATTATACACTCAACATCCTTTTGTTGATCCAGGAGCTAGTAATATAGAAGACTACTAATATATTTACTTTCTTATGGGTTGGGAGCATAACCCTCTATAAGCAATAAAGTAGGTGATTGTAATTCTCCAATAGCACTATGGATTGCAACACTGGAAAACACTCTCCATTTCCAGGATGGTCATGTTGGGTTCACTCTAGCAATTTCAAGGGTTAATTATCATTGTTGATATGATCGCATACCAGGCTTCTTTTCTAAATATGTTTGATTTTCAGCTTCTGAATTGAACACACCTAAAAATGATTCAGTATCTTCCTCTAATTCTCACTCATTCCACACAAATAGAAGATTGACTTTAAAAATAATGTTTTTTTTAAAAAATAATATTTCTCTGAGGGGAAAGAAAAGAGGATAATCTTTGCTTTTGTGGTTCAGAGCCTTTAGGGGGCTTGTTCTGTGTTCTCAAGGTTTTTTTCTGCAATCATAAGTTAAAACAATGTGCTCAGTGGGTAAATGAAAATTGACTTTAACTGCTAAGATTATATGGAAACGAAAAAAAGTATTGTGAGACTTGCGATAAAATAACGCATGTGGGGAAAACTGATTATACACTTTTGCCTGCTAAATAAGAAGACTGTTCTGCTGTTCTACATATCTACATGATTTTTCTACATGTAGGCATGTCAGGTGACTGGTGGTTGATGATTGCTTTGCCTTCTCTACAGTAAATACAGTAGCTTGAGTTTATCTATGTCTTTTTAAATATCATTGTTTGGGACTTTTCCCAAACTTTTAATATTATTTCCAAAATACCAGCCCCAGAACTAGAGACTGTAATGATCCCAACCACAGCACACATACTAACGGTATCATCCTTTCCCTTGTATACAAGATTGGGGTTATATACACTGAAAGGTACTAATACACAGTTTTAATTACATATGCTTGTATATACACTGTAAAAAACCCCACAACTTTAAGTGCTGAACTGTTTCTCAAGTAAAGTTTTTTCTTCCACAATTAGATTTGCATGTGAATTCTACTGTAATTCAATTGGAAAAATCTTAAATCTCCTTTTCTCAAGTCTCTACAGTGGCTCTCTCCTTTTCTTTCCAAGATGTTCCTTATTTTCCTATCTATCTTCAAATCAACATCATCAAGTCTCTCTAGTAGCAAGTGGATACTGAGGTATGGGGAAGAAGGGAACCAAGATTTATTCCTCAAAAATCAGTTAATAGAACAGCAACAATATCAAAAGTGGAAGCTGTAAAACTTGCATTAGCAATCATACTAAAGGGGGATATCCGCAAACACTACAGGAACTGCAGTTCAGAGGGCATGCTGAATCCTTAGCTGCTCATGGATTGCCCGTTACCAGTAAGATCCAAGTACGTTCTTTCCAACCTACTTGTCTAAAACGTTTGTTTTTTCCATCTTTAATACAGGGCTATTTTCTAACTTCCCCGGGACTTTTTTCAGAAGAAGTCCAGGCTACTACATTAAGCTCAACAGAGCTCTAAACTTCCAGCCATTTGGAAACTGCAGACAAGTTCACAGCACTACTTCTCTTGTGTTAAGCAACAGTTAATGCTTAGAGCATGTGCTATCTGAACAAGCTTGAGGATGATTTCTGTAAGTCTAAGGTGTTGGTTTTTTGACCTATAAAGTCTAAGTGGCTCTGCCTACTTGAGAAATTCCTCTCCCTTTGCATCATAGTGCATTGTGCAGAGTGCCAGAGGAAACACTGCCTGGGTTAAACTGAAAGGGGCGGATGGCGGGCAGGTCCCAGGCAGCCTCCTGGCATCTACCCGCTCACCCACCACGGTTCAGTGACCTGCAAACTGGAAATCCAGAGATTTCCCAGAAGAACTGCTCGCAGGGGCAAGGGGTGCGAGGAGCAATTTGACATTGGGGTTATTTTATTATAGGTAAAGAAGATACTTTTAAAGTTAGCTTCTAAGAATGCAACATGCCATGACCAAAGTCTGTTTCTGTAGATGATCCTATGGCAGGCGAAATTAAACCAATAAAATATTCTGGTAGAATTACATTTGGTGAGGCTCCATCACTTACATGCAGGATTTTCTATATTAAATTAAGAATGTATTTCTAAAAATATATTGACCAGAACATTGTGAAGATAATTATAAGTTAAAGAGAACCTTCCTTGCTAACTCTGCACCACTTATCCTTAAGCAATCCTATTATACCACTGGACTAAGAGAGCATTGCTTTGAAAACAGGACTGGGCCATGCCCTCCTTTCCAAGCTAAGCTCTGGAGTCTGTGTTCTCTGTGATGGGCACTGAGGGCTGACTGCATCTTAGACTTTTTAAATTAATTAACTGTAAAGATAATCATGTTATGTACCCAAATTACATATAAAGAACTAATTGTGCAGGTATGTGTGAACCAGCTCAAGTTTATTTAAGTAAGAGTTCAAATGACATCAAAGTAAAACACGTGACCTAACGTTTTTGCAAGATTGAGATGTTGACAACCACATGTAAAATGAGATGTCCCAATAAAGCCTAATTCAGGTGTATTTAATATTCAACTACGTAAATGTGAACTAAAAATATTTCCTCCCATTCATTTCTTACTTACTTTGTACCTTAAAAGTTATGGCTCTGTTTCCCATTTTGTTATTCCAGAGGCAGGAACACACTGCAGGATCAGGACCCAAACAATTTTAAATGGCATTTTATATTCCCAGTTTCGATATGTGGTGGCAGAATTAGAAACTACACCGTAAGATATACACGAGAGGTCATAGGTACACTTGGCTAAGCTTTCCCAGAGCGCGGTGCCTGGCACTGGGCAAACATCCTGCTGCAGAAGGCACAGCCTGACCCCCCGATCCCAACACTGCCATCTGAAACCAGACCCAGAGGATTTGCTGCACTGGATTCAGTGGGATATGGAATAGGAATGATCACCTGCGCACACACAGCGCCAGAATCAAGGCCTGAAAGCATATACAGTGCAGGTCAGTATCTGTGTACACAAACTCAGCAGATTAGATTAGAGTTTCCCCAACGCTCTCCATTTTGAGGATGATTTTTAAAGGATGAAGTCCATTTGTAAAACTGACACTATTCACGGCTTAGTGTTCAAAACATCTCATTTGTGCTGCTGTGAGGGCAGGTGATACAAAAACCCCACTTTGTGTCACTGCATTTAACTGCCTTAAAACCTTCCACACATCACACAATAGAGGTTATCTTCTTCTCATTAGGAAAAGGTCCACACTCTATACTTTGTGCTCAGTTGCAACACAACTGTAGTTTTTGTAAGGAATAAATATTGACCTTCCTGGACATTGCCTCACGACAGAACAGGACCTTGAGTACATTTGTCTAAGATATTTTTTAAGCCTGGTAATATAGCATAGCTTTCATTCTGAGTAGTTCAAAAGACATGGAAAAAACAGGCTTTATAAATGTCACAAACTGCCCATTTTTGTTTTCAGACAGGTGACCGTGTTCTAAAGCTGGCTCAACTGTATTTCTCTTCATATAAGACTAAACAATAATATGTATTACTTTCATATAAATTTCCAAGTTACAAATTTAATTAAGGTTACAACATACCGCGTTTGGAAAGTCAAGACTGGAAAAAGCCATGAAAACATTAGGATTTAACCTTAATGCAGGCTATTTTGTCTTTTTTTTCAAGAATAAAGCACATGACTGCCAAGAAAATTATCAACAGAAACGAGAGAGTACACACCAGGTCTCTAGAAACTGAGCTCAGAATTTAGCATATACAGAAGATTGGTCTGTTCACCAAATAGCTCAGCTCTGTCTTTTACCAGCACCTGTATCTCACGGTGAGATGTTCAGATGCTCTTTCCTTAGTAAAGGTCAGAAATCAGCATTAATTTCACTTATAAAAATACATGGTGGTGACACCAGAGGAACCACTGTATGAGTAAAATTCAACTTTCAGGTAAAACCAACACACAAGACAACAACTAGCAGGGTCAGTAATACTAGTGGGTAAAGTCTGGATGTGTATTTTGTGTATTTTAGCTGTAACTGAACCCCAGCTATCAGCAGGTGTGTACAAAATCTTACGGATTTCACAAAAAAAAAAAAAAAAAGGTTTCTGTCAGATGTTTTGAGTCCCAACATGTGACTCGACACACTCAGCTTTATAACATCAATTAAAACACGCAATAACCTTCGTGGGATCAACTGACCACATCCAAGATCCGACACTAATACAAGCACAGCTACAGATCACGACTGGATGAAGAATCAACCGTTTGCACGATCCCTTCTGCCTCAAAAGGGGGTGCAGGACCGGGGAGCGGGAACACAAAGGGACAAAACACACAGGTGGACAGCTCACAGAAAAAATGCCTCCTTGCTTCGGGTATAAATCTGAAGTCAGGGAAGAAAAATCAAACGCGAGGCACTGGGAGATGTGAAGCAGCAAAGGAGAGAAATGGGGGGAGGACAGGAGTGGGAAGGTGAGGCAGATGGAGATGGATAAAATACGGCTGCTCTTACCTGGAGCAGTTTTCCCTCGGCTGGAGTCACCTCGGCGACGTTAGCAAACTCCCCTTCCAGGATGATGGGCTCCACTTTCAGGGGGATCACCCTGATGATGGCTTTCTGCGCCGCCGACCTCTCCGACTCGACCGCCGCGGCCAGCGCCAGCCCTGTGTGGCCAAGTCCTGCCTGCAGGGTCGCCATGAGCAGCCAAGGCCAGAGGAGAGCCAGCTGCAGCTGGGGGCCAGCACTCATGCTACCAGCTGCAGCAGTGGGCTCCGGCCACACATACCGCTCAGGAACGTGTCCTCACCCCGCGGCGGGCTCCGGCCGTCGGCAAAGCTCGTGGGGTTCCGCGCCTGCGGTGCCAGCGGCGCGGAGCGGGAGAGAGAGGAGAGAGGGGCTCAGGTCCGCCAGCGCTGCTCACCAGACAACTTCTCCGGTTCTCGCCATCACCGTTTCTCTTCCTTGGTGCCACGTGCTCAAGGGCCGCTGGGAGCTCAAAGGCATATTTTAAACAAACAAACTAAAAAAAAAAAAAAAAATCCTCCAGCAGATAAATCCGGAAAGATCGGCGAAACAGGTTGCAAGCAAGAAATCAGTTCAGGCATACAGGTACACCAGGAAGCGTTAGGAAATCGTAAGTCGCACAGAGATGAGGCATGGGGAGATCTCTCCGTGGACGTGGTGTCCTCGTGTCTCCTGGCCGAGAGTTTGGGAGATCCAGAGGTTCAAAACATCCATCTCAGATACCCTTGAGAGACACCTCACCCTCTTGCCAGCATTTCCCACAGCGTGAGCTCGAATGTTACCTGCAATTATCCGTATCCTTCTCAGAAATGACGCAGGAGGTGTTTCTTGAATTTATGGTGAAAAGAAAGTTTGCTTCTGTATTGTTCTCTTCCAAGTCAAGGTGATCCCTTCCATCCTTCTCGTGCCAGAAGTGCTTCATTCAAGTTTGGAGATCAACTTTACTTTCCTCCTAGCAATCCATGCTCAGAGTCTGACTCCGGGTGCAGTTCTCGAGGAGAATTAATAAAGCACAGAGTTTCTCTTCATAGTTTCAAGTTTCCAGGAAATAAAAAGGCCCGAAAACAATTTAAAAGTTTAGATACCAAGTCAAACAGGTATCAAGCAAAAAGTTACAGCATATCTGGTTACTCTCACGCTATTTCTGCGCACGCCTGAGTTCCGGTATGACCACTTCCAAGCATACATTAAGAAGATCCCGACTAAAGGCCCCACAAAATAAAATATAAAGTTCCATGGTCTGCCCAAAGGTCACATGAAACGTATCGAGGAGTCTTCATAACTGGGAGAATTTAGAGAGAAGGTATTTTCAATTAAAACCAGAGTTACAGCGATCACACAGCTGTGAAAACGTAATTTAAGAAAAAGAAAAAAAAAAACAAAAGAAAAAAAATCTGCAAACCTGTTAGGCAATGTGCCTGCTGCAGTCCGCCGCGGCCCGGATGGATGGAAATGTTGCTGCAAATCCTGGGTAAAAGTTATTTCCAGTAGCTTAAGAAAACTTTGTGGGTCTGATGATGTTCGGGTATGGTCTTAAAAAAAAAAATACACTGCTATTTCTAATACAAAGATTTCTAAACGAAGAGAAGGAAACGCCTGTCGCACACATGCAGCAGGCAGGTAGGAGCGAGTGGGGCTCCGCAGCCCGAGAGAGAATCCAGCGAGATCAAAGGGAGGGCAGAACCGCGGGCAGGAGCTCCGGGGCGGGCAGGGCTGCGCGGGAAGGGTCCGCCTGGGCTCCGCCAGCACACACAGCAATTGTACTTCTGTCAGGTACTATAAAACGGCCTGAAAGGCAGACTAGAACTTGAGAATTTGAGGCCTAGGGCTTAAAGAATAGGAATTATTCTAGTTTTTCAAAACTTTAAACACAAAACAACAAGAAAACAAATTGTAAGAAAGGTGCTCCCATTCTTCAAGAGATATTATTTATATGTTCATTCACTACCATGGATACCAACCGCCAAACGTTAATTACTGTGAAACTCTGGCAGTAGCTACAGAAATGCCCATCCTGCTTGTGACGTACACCTTCATTTACCCAGAAAAAGCACAACTGCCTCAAAGTATGCCACAGCTGGTGCCAAGATCCTAGAGAAAACTCATGGTGGCACAGAGAGGACAAACAAGAGACTCCCTTTTTTAAAAATTACCTTGACCCACAGTAAAACGGAGATACTTCCCAAGTGTGGCCAGATCTTGCAGGTCAATGATGTGAACAAGTACCCTGATAAAGTCACAACAGCACTACCACTGCAAATGTCACACATATGAACTTTTATCTCTAAACAGACACATTCACATCCAAAGAGAAGAACTCTAGCCATTGTTCTTTTTCTCTACTACAAAGTTCCTGCCCAACAGGCACCAGTTCTGCATTTTCTGACATTTGCCTCCTGCCAAAGCAGACGCCGTTGGGAACAAACCGTGAAAATGCACAGGGGTGGAGAAACAAGGGGGCTTGTAACAATGGGGCTGTAAATGAGGTAAAGTTAGGACATGGGGTAGAATGTCCACTCATCCAAAAGAGCAGACTG